GTGTGCTGGTGACGTAGACTGTGGGTGCTTGGTGTGGTGACGTAGACTGTGGGTGCTTGGTGTGGTGACGTAGACTGTGGGTGCTTGGTGTGCTGCTGACGTAGACCTATGTACTTCTAGATGCCTCAAAGAAGTAGTTGTTGTCTTTTTCCTGTGGGTGGTTGGTGGGTGCTGTGGTGTGGTTTGCTCCATGTGTCATATCGAAAGTCTCTCATCTTTATTCCTGCTTCTTTTCTTTGTGTGTTCCTCTCAACAGCACCGGGAATCTTCAGCTTTTATATGACCTATTTGTGTTTCAAGGGCTGTAAAACTTGACATGTTTTTTCCTTCCAGCTGAACGGCAAGACTCTCACCAAGATCTTGTTTCTGCCACCGGAGGAGGTGCGCCTGGGGCACTCGGGGAAAGCCACGGTGGTGAGGACCTGGCACACTGCCTACTTCTCTTGCTCTATGTACCCATCGTTAAGATTGCACTGCGGGATTTAACAATCGTATGATTGTGCGGCAATCTTAAGATTATGCTGGCCGCTTTAACGATGGTAGAATTGTATCCTTCTTGTGAGCTCATGGTAGTTTTCATTGTAATTTTTCTATTTTTACACTTTTGATACCTGGCATTGTAAAATATTAACGCAGTCTACAGATTGCTGGGAAATTATACCATCATTATAACACACAGCAATCTTAAGATTGCGCCGAGCGGTGAATTGCGCGGGACACATCCACACCCAAGCTTCATCGGCTTCTCTGTCTTCTCTTCTTCCTTTTTCGTTTTCAAAGCAAGAACTATTGTTTCCATCATCAGTCTCCTCGGACATTTGTGTGGATGAAGAATGAACGGTTTACCTGGTGGGCCAGTAAGAAATTGTTCCTGTAGATGAACAATGAACGGTTTTCCTGGTGGGCCAGTAAGAAATTGTTCCTGTAGATGAACAATGAACGGTTTACCTGGTGGGCCAGTAAGAAATTGTTCCTGTAGATGAAGAATGAACGGTTTACCTGAAGGGCCAGTAAGAAATTGTTCCTGGCTGCTGTTTCTACTTGCAACAACATTAATGGATCTTTTCCCCTGGTTTTAGGAAAAGGAGGGGGGGGGGGGATTAGACAGTTTTGGACGTACACACGTCATTTTGAGAACCTCTCTGTTATTTGTTGGGTCCTGTTTACCACACGCGATACTAGATGGACCAGTAGAAGTGATAGATGGACCAGTAGATGTGACAGATGGACCAGTAGAAGTGACAGATGGACCAGTAGAAGTGACAGATGGACCAGTAGAAGTGACAGATGGACCAGTAGATGTGACAGATGGACCAGTAGAAGTGACAGATGGACCAGTAGAAGTGACAGAGGAAGGCAGTAAGTGGGCAGATACTAGATGGACGAGTAGTAGAAGTGACAGAAGAAGTAAGTAAGTGGGCTCACTTTGAGTTGCAGGATTGCCAACTGTTCCGAATTTCCTAGTACGGTCCTGGATTTGGCTGTTGGAGAATTAAGAGCCTCTTCCCAGACACCACACCACAGAATCAGCCTTTTCCCAGACTCTACACACCAGAACCAGCCTTTTCCCAGACACCACACACCAGAATCAGCCTTTTCCCAGACGCCACACACCAGAATCAGTCCCACTGGATGTGGTTTTGTTCATTGGTCTAGTAGTCAGATGTGTTTTAAGCATACAAAAAAAATAAGTGTTTGTTTTTGGTTCAGGATACGAACGGTGGCCTGAGTGAGATCATCATGTACAGCCATCAGAGCGTCAACTTCTACTACTACAAGTACACCATTGATGGCGTCAACGTCATTCTAGCCAGTATCCTTTACTCCATTGATCCAATTTTTGTTTGCTGCGTAAAATTTCCCTGCTACAAAGCATGTGTGATTACCGTATGGTATCTATTTCTGTGTGGTTGGGCTTGTCTGTGGTGTTCTACCTCCTCAAAGTTGGCACCTGGAAAGTTGGCTTCGTTATGTCACTTCATGATTCTCTCATGCTTCGTTATGTCACTTCATGATTCTCTCGTTATGTCACTTCATGATTCTCTCATGCTTCGTTATGTCACTTCATGATTCTCTCGTTATGTCTCTTCATGATTCTGTCATGCTTCGTCATGTCACTTCATGATTCTCTCATGAAGAGAGGCTCTGGTGTGGTTTGATCCTTCCTTCTAGTCTAACCTGTAGCATCATCATCTCTCTTCTTCTTTTGTGTTTGTTACTCTCTTGTAACAGCTCCAATCTTCAGCATTTATATGACCTATAAGTGTTTCAAGTACTGTGACCTATAAGTGTTTCAAGTACTGTGACCTATAAGTGTTTCAAGTACTGTGACCTATAAGTGTTTCAAGTACTGTGACCTATAAGAGTTTCAAGTACTGTGACCTATAAGAGTTTCAAGTACTGTGACCTATAAGAGTTTCAAGTACTGTGACCTATAGGTGTTTCAAGTACTGTGACCTATAAGTGTTTCAAGTACTGTGACCTATAAGTGTTTCAAGTACTGTGACCTATAAGTGTTTCAAGTACTGTGACCTATAAGTGTTTCAAGTACTGTGACCTATAAGAGTTTCAAGTACTGTGACCTATAAGTGTTTCAAGTACTGTAAAACTCTTACTGAAGCTACAACGTGCCAGGTTCTGGAACTCTGGAATGTTCTAACGTTGGTTTGTTCCCTGACTGTTGACCCAGATCTCCTGATATTTGTCATTATCTCCATCGTCCTTGGGTATGCCGTGGACGACTCTTTGATCGACGGGATGACGGTACGTCTACTCGCTCTCTGCGTTCTTGCTTCCACTGTGTCTGGCACATTTGGTTTTACTTTTTTTTTTTCTATGATTCGACTGTGTTCCGTCTGTAGCTTAGTGTATGTGTGGGTGGTTGGCGGGTGCTTTGGTATGGTTTGCTCCTTTCCTATCAAACAACTGTCGTCCTTATCTCTTCTCCTTCTCTTCTTTATGTTGCTCTCTAGAAACACCTGTAAACCGTGGCACCTATGTGACTTGTTTGTAGTGCAAGTGCCGTAAAACTCTTACCAAAACTATTTTATAAAGGAGAGAAAAAATGAGTGTTTGTGTGTCTGTTTGTCTGTGTGTGTGTCGTACTTCTGGGAAATGAATATTGACTGATGATCTTGGGATTTTTGTTTTCCCCAGAAATGTATTCTGAGCGTCCTGGCGATCATTCCTCTCACTTATTACATCGGCATGGCCATCACCAGGTACTTGTGTGTGTGGGTGTGTGTCTGTGTGTGGGGGGAGGGGTGTGTGTTGGGGGGGGGGAGTATTACTTCCACTGGTTAAAGGTGTAGTGTGTTGTTAAAGGTGTAGCGTGTTGTTAAAGGTGTGGTGTGTTCTTAAAAGTGTAGTGTGGTTAAAGGTGTAGTGTGTTGTTAAAGGTGTAGCGTGTTTTTAAAAATTATGGTGTGTTGTTAAAGGTGTGGTGTGTTGTTAAAAGTGTAGTGTGGTTAAAGGTGTGGTGTGTTTTTAAAGGTGTGGTGTGTTGTTAAAGGTGTAGCGTGTTGTTAAAGGTGGATTGTGTTGTTAAAGGTGTGGCGTGTTGTTAAAGGTGTGGCGTGTTCTTAAATTTGGAGTGTGTTACTTCCACTGGTTCAGGGCCCGTACAGCTTGTGATATCTCTTCTGACTTTGCAGTTTTTGTGTGGGGGTGTGCTTGTTTTGTTTTTGTTTTCAAGATCATCGTGGGTGGTTGGCGAGTGACGGGTGTGGTCTGCGCCTTCTTTTCTATCAAACATCTATCATCCGTATCTCTCCTCCTTCTTTCCTATCAAACATCTATCGTCCTTATCTCTCCTCCTTCTTTCCTATCAAACATCTATCATCCTTATCTCTCCTCCTTTTCTGTGTTTGTTATTCTCTTGTAACACGTCCAGTGTTTGCCCCTGACAATAACCCCTTCACAAGTGCCGTCAAACGCTGACTAAAACACTGACGGTATCTCCCCAGCATCTCTGCCCAGAGCAGCTTTGCCGTGGGTGCCATCTTGAACGCCACGTTTGGCTCCATGGTGGAGGTGATCTTGTTCATCATCATGCTGAAGAAAGGCCGCGACACGGGACAAGAGTGTTACCAGGAGCTGGTCAAGTCTTCTCTCACTGGTCAGTCTCTCTCTCTCTCTCTCTCTCTCTCTCTCTCT